AAACAGGGGTTATATAACCCTCCCTTACCCTATACAAAATGGGGAAAAAAATGTTTGGGTTTAGCTTTAATTTAAAGAGTTGAATTTATCACAGTTGTTTAATATGACCATATGGTCATACTGGGGATGTCATTTGGTAAGATGAGCAGATATTTTACTGTTCAATTTTCAAATGCTGGGTGACTTCATAATAAGCCTGATAATTGAAAGTACATAGCTAACTCTTTAATTTAGATGCATTTTCAAACCAACTACTTAGCAGAAGGATCAGTGTTTGTTTTTTGAATGTGTGCTCCAGTTGTATTATGGTATTAGCAAATTCCCCAGCGGAGGAAAAAAAACCATAGACTGCTTTGTCATTTATTTTTCCACACTTAGAGGACAAATTAGAACATCGTCAAGAACGGTAACTCAATCAATAAGCCATTGTAGATGTTATTTCTAGACAGAGATCCAAAGTGTGTTATATATTGCCTTCATTTATTTCACCATGTCTCGTATGAGAGAAACTTAAAGTCAAGGTTTATATGCACTTTTGTTCCTTTTAGCACAACAAATAGAACGATCAGGAACAAGCACTGTGTTCAGATATCAAAATCACCTTAATTAACAGCTTAGCTGCTTAATGGTTATTCCATATTGGAAACATTCCACATTCCATATTGAAATGTTACTCTTCGGGACAGTTGTCCAAGGAGATTGATTTATAGAGGACAGGGCTCAACAAATCTCAGGTGTCAAGTCACAACAGCGACCAGAAACCACATCACAGCCCCTGCCAGTTTTTTACCACTGACGGTACACGGCATGAGCAACTCCCAGCTCCTGAGCAAATAACTCCTGTTCTGATGCCTTCACACTTCACACCACCAGAGGGTGTCAATCCCACAGCACATCTCTTCTCTGTACAGGTTGGAAACCTCTATCACTATCTGGTCACATGATACCAGCTTTTCTCTGCGTCTGAGTATGTTCCCAACTGTCAAGGATCTCGGGCTGCGCCGCGGAGAGCAAATCTGCGCATGCGTGGATCGCCCAGGCACATCAATATGAGGGCATTAGGACCTGGGCGTCTGCGGTGGCAATTGCGGCCGCGCATGCACACTCGCACACGCGAGCGTGCACCTGGCACCAATGACGGTGCAGGGCGCGCTATTTAAACTGGCCAGGCAATGTCCTCTTTGCCGCAAGGTCTTGTTCCTGTAGTGCGTTCCTTGTTGCTGACCCTGCCTGTTCTGATCTATGCTGACCTTCTCCTGCTCTGACCCCCGGCTCATCCCTGACCATTCCTCTACCTGTCGTTACTATTATTTGGACCCTCTGTTACTGAACCGGGCATGTGACCTGACTACTCTTTGTCTGCTGCTTGGTACCGCACCTGTCCCCACTGTTACCGACCCGGCTAGTGTGACCACGCTCACTCCTGGCAGTCATCCATCCATCCCGCTCGGACCTGGACCTGTCAGCCCCTTCACAGCAGGCTCATCACGGGCACATACCCTCAGCGGGACCCCTCTACCATAGTTGGGTGCACCCAGGGGTCGCGACCTGGTTCCAGTCTTGCACCAAGTCCATCCCCACCATCAGGGGCTCTGGTGAAAAGGCAGACTGGGACTTAGACTCCGCGTCCTGGGGAATCCCATTCTGTGGATCACTAGAGATCCCGTTGGGCGGAGCCTGACACCAACTGCCAAGAATATCGGAGAGTGAGTGCACGAGGCATGTCAAAAATCGAGGTATGGGAGATTATATTATCCCCTGATATAGGGTATTGCTTTGGATTTGCTCTGAGTTTCTTCGCTCTAGTGTTTGTAGATCAGATCTGTTGAATTCATTGGTTCAAACACCATTTGCTAGCAGCATGTGGAAAGACAGTTCTTCAGTACAATGGTTAATAAGTCAACATGGAACCCATATGCAGTAATAATATTTGAGTACTCACTAATCTATAATTAATGGTCTTGGATAAGTTATGCCATTTTAGTGATTTGAGCCTAATATACCATAATATACCATACTATGCCCTGTAAACCTTCTGCATAACACTGAAACAGCAATTTGTCATTGAGTAACAGCACCATATCAGCCCTTTTATCTAAATGGTTGCAAGGGCATATTGCCCTGTTATAACATATTATACTAACCAGTGAAGGCACTTTGGCACGCTGCCACATTAGTGCATTATATCACCCAGCTAAAATATAGTCTGAAAAGGTTATTTGAATTAATTAGGAACATCATTTTCGGAAAGCACTCCAATCAGTGCCTGGCCTCTGCAGATCCTGTCCTAATGGGCTCTAGGACCCCAGACCCCTTTGTGCCTGACCTCACTTTGCATCAGTAGTTTGATCCTGTTGTGATTGTACAGCAGTAGGTCTGCCAGTAATATATTTGCTTGTTTGCAGATCCAGTAAACTCACAAGTCAGTCTGATTTGTGAAGTTGGTTTTTGGTACTTGCTGTAAGGCAGCTGTCTACATTACTGCTTTTGGTGCAGTGACAGTATGTTTTAAGGTAGAGCTTAGGTCCTGTTTGGGCAAAAAAAAAAGAAAGAAAGAATTGAGAGCCAGAATCCTGTAAAAGTAAAAAAGCATCTTCAGCAGCTATACTTACACCGTGCTGTCCCCCCACAGACTCATCAAACCAATAATGCTGCCCCACTTTTCTTCTGGGTTGAAGCCACTTTTTGTGAGCCCAGGGCATCAACTATATTTCCCCCTGGCCTTAGATTCATAGGAGAATGTTGTCAGGAGCAGCACTACTTCAATATGTGTGGCCGCTCTCTACACCATTTAAGATCCTCCTACCAGAGCAAGAAGAAGCCCTGTAGAGTTGCACAGTTGGACCAAAGACAAACTACATAACTTGGAAAAAATATGTATCAATCAATATTATTATTATTTTTTTCTTTAATGGCTGCCGAGTTGCTCCAATTGGGGGAAATGGGGGGAGGACAGAAAGAGGACCTGGGTCCACAGCTGAGCTTTAAAGCTGAGCTCCAGCCTTCCCTTCTGTTTTGAACAGGCTTTCCTCCTGTGCTGAAATTGCTTATTTGATTTCAGGGTACACTGGGAGTGTTTCACAATGTGCATTGGGAACTGCAGCAAGTCAGAGCCCAACTCTTTCCCTTGCTGCAGGATGCTCAGCGTTGTCTACAGGGTTTCTTAGCCAGGGTTCAATGGGACCCTAGGGTTCCTGTTGAGGTTGCTAGTGGTTCCTTGAGCAATGAGCAATTTACACCTTCTGGATAAGTTTTTCACTGACACCATTGATATTTTTAGATATCTGTAAAGAGGATAATTCTTCCGAATGATCACACTAGTGTACCATGAGTTGTAGATATAGTAGCTTTAAGTAGGAGTTCCTTGTGACCGGAAAGATTTTTCAAGGGTTCCTTCATGTTGAAAAGGTTGAGAAAGGCACATCTAGATCTTTTCCCTCAGACATACTGTTCCTGGTCCACCACTTTCATTAATTGGATTTTTAGTTCTTTTAGTCATAAAGGCTCAGCATCACATGTGGACATTACCTAGGACAAGCTGCATGCAAATGCAGCCAGCATAGGGAATTCCCACTTCTCCAGACTTAACTCCATCCACCAATGCATTTTTATAATTGCATAACTCCTATTGTATCAGGGCTGGGGTCCTGCTACTTAACAAGCAGCTCTTTTCTTTCAGTGCTCAGAAGCTGCTCAGTTGTTGGGTTAATTACCAGTCACTCGTCTCCTCAGTGACTCACCTGGATACCATTACCTGCCTCATTATTCCAGCCTACAGCCAGCCTTTTTTGCTATTTAAGCAGCTTAGCTCATTTCCTCCTTGTGCTTGTGTGGTCTATTATCTCAAGTGTGTCCCTGCCTACTACTCAGTCTTGATTCCTATTCCTGATTTTTGGCTTCTGAATATGCTGACTTCTGGTTTCCTGACTCTGGCTTGTATGATAACCTGCTCTGGCATCCAAACCCTGGCTTCTGTTTTGACTACTTTCCTGATCTATGTTATATTAGTTATTTAATTAAAGGTGTGATTTTAACTGCTCTTCAAGATAGTTCTACTGTAGGGTGCTGTGGATTTCAGGAAGCTACTTCCCTAGCTATGGTCTTCCAGCATTGTATGGAGAAGCACAGACACTTAGGTATGTAATGAAAACCGTTTTTAAAAGCTGTTTTTTTTAATGCCATGTGTAGGAGTTGGGAAAATAGAAACCAGGGAAGGCAAAGTATAAACAGAATAAACCTCAGTTTTACCTGCAGTCAAGATTCCCTCTTATTCCAGTCTAGGAAAAAACTTTTAAATAAAACAGGACATGAGGGAAAAGCTCAGAACAGGATGTCAAGGGAAATCCCAGAACAGAAAACAATTGGAAATCTCAGAATAGGAATTGAGGAGGAAGCTCAGAGGAGGATGCTCGGTGGAAACTCGGAGCAGGAAGTGAGGAGGAAGCTCAGAACTGGAAGTGAGCCAAAATCTCAGAACAGGAAGTGAGGAAGCTCAAAACCTCAGAACAGGAAGTGATGGAAAATCTCAGAACAGGAGGTGAACAGGAAACTGAAAAGAAAGTGAGGGAAAATCTCAGAACAGGAAGTGAGGGGAAATGACTCTACCCTTCCCCCCACCCTTATATTAACTAGTTGCCGACCGCAGATAGCCGAATGACGGCTACACTGTGGCTGGCCAGTTCTGATTGGACGTCATATGACGTCCTCCCAGAACGCGCTCTCCTGGGCGCGCACCCGGCGATATCCGTGATTGCTGTGTCCTACGGACACAGCTGATCATGTGATGTGGTAAAAGGCCAATCACAGCGACCCTTTATCACGTGATCAGCGGTGTCCAATGACACGCTGATCAGAGGGAAATGCAAGTGCTGGTTCCCGGCTGCACTTTCATCACGCTGTCAGATCGTGAGGAAAGTACTGCCGAGAACCGGCAGTTGTCAGAGCGGGGATCGGCACCGATCATCAGGGCACTGATGATCAGTGCCCTGATGATCGGTGCCCAGCAGTGCCACCCGCAAGTTCTGCCCACCTGTGCCCAGCAGTGCGCCCACTAGCTCCGCCCACCTGTGCCCAGAAGATCACCCACCTGTGCCCAGCAGTGCACCCACCTGTGCCACTCTGCAGTGCCACCTACCTGTGCACAGAAGTGCCACCTACCTGTGCCCAGCAGTGCCACCCACCTGTGCCCACCCACCTGTGCCCACCCACCAGTGCTGCCCACCAGTGCCACCCACCAGTGTTGCCCAGCAGTGCTGCCAGTCAGTGCCACCAGTCAGTGCCCAGGGGTTGTGCCAGTCAGTGCCGCCAGTCAGTGCCCAGCAGTGATGCCAGTCAGTGCCGTCTATCAGTACCCATCATCAGTGTCGCCTATCAGTGCCGCCTATCAGTGCTGCATATTAGTGCCGCCTATCCGTGACACCTCATTAGTGCTGTCTATCAGTGCCGCCTATCCGTGCCACCTCATTAGTACTGCCTATCAGTGCCCTTTAGTGCTGCCTATCAGTGCCCATCAGTGCCGCCTATCGGTGCGCATCAGTGCTGCCTCATCAACGCACATCAGTGAAGGAGAAAAAATACCTGTTTTAAAAATTTTATAATAGAAACAAAGAAACTTTATATTTTTTTTTCAAATTTTTTGCAATTTTTATTTATAGCGCAAAAAGTAAAGTGCCCAGTGGCAATTAAATACCACCAAAAGAAAGCTCTATTTGTGAGAAAAAAATGATCAAAATTTCATATGGGTACAATGTTGCATGACCACGCAATTGTCAATCAAAGTGCGGCAGCGCTGAAATCTGAAAATTGGCCTGGTAAATAAGGGGGTATAAGTGCCTGGTAGGCAAGTGGTTAATGTGGGCTGCATTTCAGAAACGGACAAAGACAAAAATGGAGGGGTTAAATGTCATAACTGAAATGAAGTTAGTTTTGTAAACTGAGAAAGAAAATTGCCTCCAATGGGACTTTAGTGCAGCCTTGACAACATGAATATATTCGAAATATATAACATTTTACTGGTACAAAATTTATCATTAAAAAAACAAGCAAAAAAACATTTTTATCTCTGGCATGAATGTATACAGTCTGTACCTCCAGACTAGTGCTGTCATACAGAGACAATGAATAGCACAGTTACATGTGAAACTGGTTATAGTTTAGGGATGTGGCAGCTGCGGATCTGGTATTACCCAACCACATGTTTTCTATGAGTTTTGCAAGGTGAACAAATTTGCCAGATTTCTGTGCAAGTACTAGTCCCTATTTATAAAATAAAAATTTGACTAAACTTAGGCTTTAAAGTAAAACTCTTACAAACCTAGGCATACATTTAAAAGAATATGCATCATCAGAGGTTATCTTCAGTAAAAGAAAACAAGATAGTGTATCAAAACAACAATCCGTTGATCCAGATATTTGTGAATCAGCTGCCTAGTACACGAAAAAAGGTGATGTTGGTCGTTATCAGGAACCAGTGGAAAAAAACTTGGCAGGCAAAAATCAGAATGTGCTTAAAACTTTATGGGAAAGGTAAATTTTATATTTCAGCTGCCTTTATCTCTGGATCTACTGAATGTTTTGATGTGCAGTTTTCACTGAAGATGACCTCCGCTTTGTACATTTTTTTTTTCATCATATGGTCAGTTTGAATGGACCAGGTCTGAGACCGATAGAAGTGTTAGTATTTGGTTACTGCAATAAATGCATCTCCTCAAGTGTTATTTCTTTTAACATTCTGCACACTTGCAGAGATTCAGGGAGAAACCGCAAGATCTGTATATGAAGAGTATAAATTATTTTTTGCAGCGTGCAAAGGAAGATAGCTGAATGCGTATATTCTGTATGCCATACAGACCTACAGTAAGGGTCAATTAGGAATAGTGGATAGTGTCTGCAATCTTTCATTCCTGGAGGAGTGAGCAGAGCACATTAATCTCCAAAGTTATCCACAAATTGAACCTTATGAACAGAGCCATACATCATGTCCCCTTGCTACAGTAACCAGTTCTCGTCACCCCTTTCATCCGGCTTCTTCCACACCCTACCCAATTTTCACATAACATATTAACATGGAAAAGCAGAGTGTGACTTATAACTTTCAGAGTGATTTACTGTATATTTGACTACACTTGCCAATAGCCCTCTAAATAAATGTGAGTTTTTCTTTAGGAAAACGATGTTCAGGCAAGAGTTATGCTTCCAGGTCTGTGTGATTGTATCTGTGGAAATTCAGAAATAGCTTCATACATTATTGATGGACTGTTGACCTAGCCGGAGACAAAGTGCCCAAGAAACGCCATATATATTCTTAGACCTGTGAGATATGCTGTAAATTGCAGTGGCTGTCAAAAACTACAAGCCATCATTAGTTGCCAGAGCTTTTTCTTTTTTTAATTAGCACCATTTTCATATCTGCTTATGCATTTTAGCAGGCCAAGGTGCAGTAATAATGCTTGCAACAGCCAATGGATTGTCCGTTCATAAAATGGCAAATCAAATTTTGTGTTGAAAAAATGTAATGTTAGTAGCTGCAAAAGCAAACAAAATGTTGGGATAAAACCAATAACTCTACATTATTTGGTCATAAGGTTTGTAGATGCCTGACTGTTATACCTATGCTATATGGATAAAGGTTTCTGGACACCCCTCCAAATTATTGAGTTTAGGCATTCCAATAAAGAGTAGTGTGAATACTGCAGCATACAAAGGCATTATAGACAATAGTGCAGTTCTACCCTTGTGGAAACAGTTTGGAGAAGCCCTTTTCTGATCCCGAAGACTGTACTCTGCATAAAACGAACGCCATAGAAACATGGTTAGATGAGGCATGGAGGAACTCAAGTGCCCTAAACAGAGACCTCAACCCTTTTGAGCACCTTTAAAGTGAAACTTTACCCATAACAATTTGCAAAAACTACGTTCTTTATCAAGAGAAAAACATTCCATATTACAAATTATTCAACCAAAATTAGTGTGTAATATAAAATGCTTCCATTATTGTTCCTGTTTCTTCTTGCCGGATGCTGCCATTTTGCTGAAGCCCAGAGCTCCTGAGCAGCATTAAATCTTTAGGCTTTCGGCAGATTGGTCTCTACAAATTCAGCACAGAGCCTAAAAATAGAGTGCTGAATTGCACAATCCCAATGCACATGTTCCTGCATCATAGAGTGGCTATATGTGTAGGAGGGTGCTGTAGTGACAGTCAGCTGGAACTGGGAGTTATCACAGGGGAAGAATGTCACCAGCACATTGAGGTTCTCCAATATGGGTCCGAAGCTTTAAAAAGCAATCACATAGTTACAGCAAGAGCAACGTTTCGAAGTCTCGCAGGACCCCTTCATCACGGTCACATGAGACAGTGTTTTATTGTTTTTTAAACAATCTAGGCACTTATTGTTTTATTTTTTTTTCAAGAATTGTCATTGGCATTTATAGCATTGGCACTTTATTTTTTATATTTTACATATCTGCAAAGTAGGCCAGCCTGAAGTGATCTAGCAGGACGTAAACAATATGTAAACCCAACATTTCATATTCCTGATATGTGCCTGATGTACCATGTACTTGTATGAAAAAGTATCCTGTTCTCTTTGTATTGCTTCCTTGGTATGAAAGCCCTGGTGTTCCTGCCAGACCCTCTGCTTTCCTATGAAAAACTGACCACACTAGGCATGAGAACACAGTGTGGTCAGTTCTCTAGCTGTGCTGTTCTCTGCCAATGTGCAGACTTGTCTTGACACACCCCGCCCTGTGCATCCATTCACTGTTTCTCTTCCCTTAACGGTTATGCAGCTGAAAACAGAGCGTATGTGATCACTAATAAAAAAAGGGAAAACATGTATTTATAATGTTTTTATAGATGTACACAAATGTTTTGCCTTTCATTTCTATTTTAAACTGAATGGGTTGTATTACAAGGTGAGGGTTTACAATCACTTTAATTTTTGGCCTAAAGTTCCACTGTAAGGTTAATTACTATGCAGATTGTGAGCCAAGTCTTCTTGACCTCAGACCACCTCTTTTGGCCCACAAACACACTCTAAAATCTTGTGGAAAGCATGTCCAGAGCAGTGGAGGTTTTTACAGCTACATGTAAAGGGAAGGCAACTCCATATTCTTGCCCATTGTTTTGGAAAGGTGTGCCCAAAAAGCTCTTATACCTGTAGGTGTAATGATCAGGTGCTACAAGCTTCATAAAGAGAGGGGTCATAAAATTGGAGCTTGCAAAATTTGGTACAACTCTGTATAAAAACCAGTCAGCTTCAAGTTTTGTTTTGTTTTTTTCTTGTCAAGTTTAATTGAACAAGCTGAAGTTAGAAGCGGATTGCTGACCATGCACTGGGCGCCAGATTTTGCACTTTTCAGTTCTAGTAAATCAGCCCCATGGTTTAATAGGTTTCATGTTGAGTGGCCTGCACAGGGCTATGACCTCAACCCTAATGTAAAAATTTATGTTGAGGATGGGCAGATGGTTTATAGACCTAGCTTAGCTTACTACTTGCTATTTAAGATTTACTAGAAAACTGCAGATCATGTTTAAAGCTTAAACCATTTTAGGTTCTCAAGGAAGAAAATACCAAAACTTCTGTCAAGTTTTTATTGCCATCTGTGTTTTTATTTGGGAGATTTCTTCCCATTGCCTGTCCCAATGACATCTGGACAGTGGGGGAATGGGTTCAGTTATGGGAGAAAGATACAGAGAGCAATAAAAAAATATTGAAAACTGAATTCCAGAAATAATATTTTTTGCATACGTACATTGGATCACCTTGGCTTGATATAAGCATGCATATCTGATATCTGAAGGGCCAGTGGGGATGTTGTAAATCGCTGTAATAGTCAACGCTACATACAGTGATAGCCGGGATTTTCTGGGTGCTACTCCAGTGGCTTCCCCTCTGCACACTGAACACAGAGGGATACTCGTTTAGCATTGGCACCATTTAGAGATGCCCTGTAATACAAAGCATTCCATGAATGGCAAAGGTGTAGAGCAGGTGGACCCTTGTGTTCGGTGGGCAGAAGATCATGGTTCTCTCTATATGAAGGGTGGACTACTACAGTAATTTACATCACCCCCCCCCCCCCCCCAGTTATCAGATATGCTTACTTGCAGTACATTGACTCAAGCTCTGGAGCTTTAAACTTTGATTAAAGGAAATTAAAGGAATCTTTTCATTAGTGAATCATAAGGGCTGCCATTTCTGATCATTCCTTCTGAAAGTGCTAGTTGCCTGACTGTCTTATTGATGCTTTGACTTCAGTGCTTCCTGAGTT